CCACGCTGTCCCGTTTTCCTGGCGACCTTCAACGTTCGCACTCTAAGACGAATAGGTCAACAGGCTCCACTCGCACGCACTTTGGACACACTGGTTAGTAGCGTGTGATGTGTATCCGAAATTACAACCAATGGCTTTCACCTGGTCGTTGAACTTACTGCACCCGGTTTGTCCTCTCTCCATTCGTTGCACGCATCCGGAGACATTGGTATGGCACTCACGAGTCAAGCTGGGTAGGCATCATTCACAGCTCCAAGGCTGAGCCATCGTTGGTTGATTGGATTCCTATGAGCAGCCGTTTCTGTGCAGGACCTCTGAAGTCATCAGCTAAGGTCGACTCACGATGTAGTACAAAAGCTGTTTGTTTGTGATTTTTGCTTATGCTCCCACCGACTGCAGTTCAGGTGTTGTCAAGGCCACATCCTATCACGAACCGAACGCGCTACTATGCAGTGATACTAGTTCAGATATTATGGTACTTGCAGGGGATATGAATGCGCAAGTAGGTCGTCTGAGCTCTTCAGAAGCTCCGCTAGGTAGTAATTATGGTCTTGACTCCGAACAGACGGACAACGGCGAGCGTCTGTTGCAAGTGTGTGCGAGACACCTTTTTCTTATTTGCACTGCTTTTAGATACAGTTGGCGCCGAAGTGTCACTTGGCTTCCTCCTGTAACTGACCAGCGATGGACTCAGATAGATCACATTGCCCTAAGTTACAGGTGGCATACTTCCATCCTGGATGGCCGTTCGCTCTGGAGTACTTGCGTCGATCATAATCATGCCTTGGTGCGCTGTCGTTTTTCCATGAACCTTACCGGGAGGCATGCCAAGCCTCTCCCCAGATTGGCAACTGGGAAATTATTCCAGCCTTCGGTCAGGTAAGCCTACCAGTATGCACTGCGTGCCGAACTTTCTATCTATTGTCTTAATAAGTCTGAACTTCAGTGGAATAGGATCTCAGTCGCTATGCACGACACAGGGACATCTGCTTGTGGCACTATCAATCGTCACCGCAACAGTCACTGGATTTTTGAGAGATTTGTGAACCTGTTGGAATCCAGAGGGAACGTCCCTGCCGGCTCTGAGCACGATGTGACTAAACGGACTATAAAGCAGGAACTAAAGCAGAGCCTGCACGCTGACAAGGAAGCCTGGTGGACCAGTAGAGCTCAAGAAATGGTGGAGGCAGGAGCAGTAGACAATTATCGCAAGCTTTTCCGGCTTATCCGCATCACTGGTTCCAGGAAACCAGGTGTCAATGAGACAGAGAGCGCGGGTTCATTGATTCACACTGCGAAATGCCGTATGGTTCGTTGGGCGGAGCACTCGAGATCAGTTCAGTTTACCCCCTGCTTCCGGACCTCTCCCTACTCAGGTGGTGCAGGATGAGCTATGGACGGCCAGTTTAGAGGCGACCCTGCGATCCCCAATGTGCGACACTGGGAGGATTTTCTCATTGCGCCTACCCGGAGATGACGCAGCTTCAAAAGCCGGTGTGGGTATTGCTCTTAGCATCCGGGCTGAATGCCCTGATCAATAGAATCGCAATGAACAGCCGAATGTGCTCTGTCATATTGGCTAACTCGTTCGGAGCCTCAGAGTCCCGTGAGGGCAACTGGTACTTGTTTGTCATTGCGGCTTACGTGTCCACAACATGTAACACTGACTAAATGAAAGATGAATTTTATCACCAGCTGAACGCGCTTCTATGTTACAGAGTACGTACGGATACTGCATTGCTAGCTGGTGATTTGAACGCCCAAGTCGGATAACTGTCTACTGATGAGCTTCATTTAGACGACAAACACGGTGTATGCTTCCGTAATGATAACGGTGAGCGGTTGCTACACCTGTGTGAAGATGCTCGTCTCTTGCGAGCACTAACTTCTGGCACAGCACCCGCCGGAGAGTGGCATGCGCCCACTAGCCTCGGACCAACCGTGGAAGCAAATCGATCACATCGCGCTCATTTACCGTTGGAGTGGCTACTTACAAAACTGTCGCTCAGTTCGAAGCACGATCGTTGCCTCTTACCACGCACTTGTTTGCACCGACCTTCAAGTGCGTTTCCGAGGACGTCCACAACGGCGCTGTGAGTGCATAGATACTTTCCAACTGGCGGAGCCAGATGTTTTGTATGCTTATCAAAGTACGCTGGCAACCGAGCTGAGTAAGAGTTCACTAGTCGCATATCCGCCAGATGTTATTAGCAGCAGACACGTCTTTATGTGGGAAATCAAGTTGCTAACCTGAACATTAGATCCGACGCAGCCTCTGGAACTCCTGGATGCCCACCCATACATTCCTGCTGGAAGCGAATACAATGAGACTGGCAAAGATCTCAGGGCGAAACTGCATGTTAGCCTGAAGAGAGACCGCGAAGCCTGGTGCTCTCATCAGGCATCGCAGATGCAGATAGCCGCTGCTTTTGGTAACCATCGGAAGTTATTCCGTCTGATACGAGAAACCGACAGCAGAAGACCTGGTGTTACCGACACTATATTCGACAAGAGTGGAGAGCCGAGCCACATCTTGTCAAAGCGCTTGGAGTGTTGGGCCGAACACTTTGAGAAGTAGTTCAATCAGTCAGGTTTGCCAGCCTCCCTATCGGCCAATGGTTACCCTCGTTCCGCTCTCACGCGCAGAAATCTAACGTGAGATCAGACGGCTGAAATTGTACAAGGCCGCCAGAGCAGATGGACTTCATCCAGCCCTCTTCAAATTTGGGGGCCCTGCTCTTTTGGATGAATTACGCAATTAACAAATCAATCTATGGGAGCAGGAATTTGTCCATACAGACTGGAGCAGCTCCGTTATAGTCATAATTTTCGAGGGAGGCTCCCGTTCAGGACGCGACAGTCATAGAGGAATCCGTTTGATCTCAAATGCCTCTGTCGTCCACCACAGACCAACTGGTACCCTTGAAAGCTAAATGCGCGAGAAGCAGGTCGGGTTTCATCGAGATTGCATTAACCGCATCGTCACATTGCTTCAGTTGCTGGAACAACGCCACATTTATTAGCGACCCACGGTACTCTTGTTCCTAGACACCACAGGGGCTTGCGATTCGGTTGATCGATGTGCCATTTGGGACTGTCTAATGATGAAATGTGTGCCCGAGAAATATGTAAATGTCATAAGAGTGCTATGCGCTCTTAGTTCGGGCAGATTGAGGATTTACGGAAAACGCGCCCTGACTGGCGCCGTAGGATTATTTTGACGACTCTTATCAAGATAACAGGATCCACCGCACTTCGGTGCCCTGATCATATTTGATAAGCTGAATTGCAATGTGGGATTATGAGTCCTCTTCAGTGTTGCGCATGCACACCGACTCCCGCGACGTGCATTGTTTGCGCGCCGGGAGTGCAGTTGGAAGAGACAGAGGAGAGGGTCAAGCGATGACATGGTCGAGAGAAATGAAAATCCTCACTTCAAAGCTGGCGTCGCTTTTTGCACTCCGACTGCCTGGCTGGAGTCCTAAGGATGATGAACACGGTTGGTTGGACACACTTGCTGATATAGCGAAGAGTTGGCTCCAATAGCATTTGTGTTGTGAGTTTCTTTGTCCATCTCCCTCCCATTTAGATTCCCCCTCCAATTCTGATCTCATACGAAATGCATACTATAATATTTACTTGCTTAAAATATTACTTGCTTTCGAATTTTTGTAGTGTACTCTTTTAGTATCTTACTTTTTTGTATTGCAGCACATTAGTTGATGTGTGATTCTCACCCTCAGCTAAGGTATATTGATGATGATGATGATGCGTCCTCTTTAGCTACTTTGTCAAGGCAGCGAGAAGCCATAACTTGAGAAATGACAACATTTCAACTGTTCTTATTGATATCAAATAAAAAACAAGTGGAACAAACAACGTTAAGTATGTGGGGAACCATTGGTAACACCGATCAATTTTGTCACAACCTAATTGATTACCCCAGCTTTTTGTGCAAATAACATGTTTATGCGTCATAAGTAGCAACATCTCACTGATTGCCAACGTTATCAGGTTTTGTTACACATTGAACGTGATCTCGGGGTTCATGTCGAGGAGTTGACACGATCTGCTTGGCGATAACTTATGACTCATTATCGTTTATTTTAAGATCTGCTCCATTTTTTGCATCGTCGCTTGTCCCAACCACTTTGGTGAGCGTTCACCTACCCTCCGAACCAAATACCAGTCGTTTGCCTATGTAGAGGTCATCGCAGCTGCAGCCTAACTGATAAATAGTGTGAGAGACCAAACTGGCCGGTGAGCCATTCTGGCAATTCGGATGAACAAGCTTTCACGTTACGTGCCTAAGTCGCAACTGGGCGGTTATGTAGCTACGCTTTAGAGTGAACCTGAACATGTTTCAAAAATTATTTGCAACATGGTAACCCTTGAAAAGCGAGAACAGATAAACATCCTTTTTATCTACCGGTTGCACCGACATCTTTCCGGGAGGCCTGTTGTGGATGCATCTGAACTTTTAGGCACATTCATTTGACGATGTACTCTACAAAATATTCTTCCATTTCCAATGGTTCTGGGCTGCGAATCTATCTGTCTCTGTAGGCGAATCTTCACTAGGCCGGGTTTGATTACAACTGGGGCTGATTTGAAAAGTGTAAGTATACTGCAGTCTGCCCCCTTTTGTCTCTTATTGAGTATCCAAAATGACAGGGTTTTTTGTGTTCCATCTGCTCACAGACGTTATGCTGCGATATTTCATTGGAGCGGAATAATTTTAAGCCAAGTTATTTCCACTTTAATCGATTATTGCGAAGATCAATGAGCTACCATAGCATGGCGTCTTTAATCGGTTTCAATATTGGCAATAAGGTCAATTCCTCGCTTTCTTTTACATGTAATCATTTGGTCCTTCTTGAACCCTAGAGTGATGTTGTTCATTCCAGATATACTTTGGTTTTTCATGATTTTGTCATTTTTAATCTGCCGACCTTCAAAGCGTAGTGTGCATTTATCCTCTTTCTCCTTTAAACTCTCAGTTGACGATCTGGGTACGTTTTTGCCAAGCTACTTATCTGCCGCATGTATCCTCTATGCATTGAATTTGACCGTTCATCCTGATCTCAGTGACGTTGCTCTCCGCTCTGTCACACGCATCCAACAACTTCTGCGACTTGATGCTGTGAGTTTCCTGCCAATATCTTTGTTTTTATGCATATTGCGCTTTCTTCATTTATCTTGCACTAATCGGACAATTTGCGGATCTCATTTTCTTTGCGAATTTTTCCCATGCTGGATATCACCTAGACGTAGTCTTCGGCTGCACCAATCGGTGTGAATACCCGTCTGTGTACTCCAATTCGCACAGTGATCCAAGCTAGCGTATTCATGCTGGCTTTGACTACTCAACAGTGCATCGAGTCATGGTACATGCTTGCGGCAGCTCTGTTTAAACCACTCATTCTCGATATTTATGCATGTGTCAGCTAATCGACTCTCAATCGATCAGATCTCATCACAGTCATCATCATCATCCTCATCTCATCACAGTGACTGTTGGTCATACTAGTCAGGAGAGTCCTGCGGGGACAGATTAGAATGCTTTTGTTTAAAACCTTTTGGGACCCTAGATCCTCCTAACCATAAACCAGCTCTCTTCTTAGTGAACCAGTCCTTTCTTATGCACCTGGTCAACGACATTCTCAATGTGGTCATGCTATTGGCGACTGTTCGCTACCATTGCTTCTCAGTGGCTAAATTCGACATCAGTTTATTATAAACTCACCTTGATCATGTCCCGGTAACACAGCTTCGGTTTTCCACATCCCGCTTCCCTGCATGTAGTTGGTCATACAGTAGAGGCTTCAGTATTTTAGTCACTCCATACGACGGGCATGTCCGAGCCACTTATCTTGCCGCGAGAGAAGTGTGCAGTCCACTCCATTCATGCCACTTCGGCTGAGCATTTCCATGTCAGGAACTGTCACATCAACGTATGCGTAGTTTCCGACGCAGGCACTGTTAATGAATGGTCTCCAAATATTTGATGTCATCCGTGTATGTTGTCCGTGCTTTGCTGCCGTAAAGAAGAACTGACAGCGCCATCAATTTGTACATGGTCATTTGGTGCTTCTTTTATGCCCAATTTTATGGAACTCACCTTCGATCAACGGATGCGCACTTCATTGCTTATCTGCAGGTCTGTTGTCAGCGTGCTCCCAAGATTACGAAGTTTTGACGAAGTATCCAAAACCTCACCAGCGTTCTTGATTTGCAGACAGTCCATGAATTCTGTTCCTAATGTGGGCTGCTCGTGAGTCCAAACTTGGCTACCACCGAAGCGAGATCCGTCGTCGTAAGTTACAACTCATCTTCGCTGTGTGCAAACAATTCACAGGCATCAACAAACGACAGCATCCGGATGCATGTCTCACACACGTGTTCTCGCACCGAAACGACGGATGTTCAGCAAACCAATGCGGTGCTCCACACGAACACCATAGGCACAAACCGCATCAAAAGCACAAGACATCATTGCTTGAAGATAAATATTAACGAGGGCAGGAGCTAAGACACAGCCTTGCTTCACACTAAAAACATCTGCAAAGTCATTCGATGTCTCTCCACTCAGCTGCACCCTCGTTCGCATACCACTGTGCAGACATTCCATTAAAATTACAAACTTGCTCGGACGATCAAACTTACCCAACACCAGCCACAATGCCTTGCGGTTCACCGTATTGAATGCTTTAGTGAAACCAACAAACAGCGTATACAACAGCTGCTGTCATTCTCTGTGCTTCTCCTGCAGCTGACGAGCCGCAAACACCATATCTATGGTGCAGTGGCCTGAACGGAATCTGCATCATTACTCAGCCACGTTAGGTTCCACAACCTGACTGACAAAACGGTTAAGCAGGACTCAAGCTGTTTTCTTCCTAACGAAACGCAGCATATTGATACCGCAATGTTTGTCAGCATATTGATTACCCCTTTACAATGGTTGCATATGGGCATCCTACAGCTCAGCTGGCAGCTGTTCTTCAAATCACACGCGTTGCACTATGTGGTGCAGCGCATGTAACAACGTGGGTCCGCGTGTTTCAGCACTTCTGACGGTATCCCTTTGGCTCCGGTGCACTTGCCGTTTCGCAGCTGAGCAAGTGCTCACTGCGTCCCATGAAATGTAGTGGTGTCGGCAAGACCCTTCTTCACCTCTTTTTGCTGCAGCCCGTGCAACATATCCCAGTCAATCTTTGAACGGTTTTTCAAGAGATAGTTGCATTGATTGCGCCATACCTTCGTAAAGTCTGAAGTTTGTTCCGGCAGCTTCTGAAGTGACGTCCTCAGCTGATGCAAGCTAAGTCCACACACTGCGTTCATGGATTCATACAGCTCCTTGTGTTGACAGCGTTCGGCGTAGCATCCCATCTGCGTCGATCCCGAATCCATCGCTGATGCCTTTTGCGGAACTTAACCTCCGAGTTGCCGGGATCCTCTACATTTGCAGCAGAGTTGCATTCTCCTCCGTCATCGATCCACCAATGAGCACATTGTTATCAACAAAACAAAACTTATACTTTGTACCGCCGATCAATTCCTCGATGCAAGCGGTCTTCTGTGCTTTCAGGAGGTGCCATAGGGCGCTTGTAAGCACCCAAAAAGTGAACGAAGTTATTCCTTGCGATAAGGATTATTATCCGTATACGTCGGCTCTGACCACGAGCCGTTCCACTCACTTTCGAACTCTCTCCTGACTACTGTCTGGCGTGCGGTGCTTCTGTATTTATTCCTGGTGCACGCACATCTGCAACTCAAACGTTCTTTTTATGTCGTTCCGTTGGTATTGTTCGCTGTTGATCCGTTTGGTGCAGTTAGTCCCAGAAGTCTTGTCCCTTTTTACTCTGTTACTCAGGGACCAAGGGTCACACTTTCGGGTGAGAGGAGAGCGCACTAAATTGCCAACTGTCCAGTGGTAGATGTTGGTCTATCACAGAATGTCTCTCACCCGGGCACCTTGATGTGAACGACCGGAGTTATGGTCGTATGCATGCATGTGCGTACAGGTGTACTTACCAGTCTCGTCCATCGTGAAAACGCTGAATGGGCGCGGATGGTTGAGTTGAAGTCAACTACTGTACGCCACGGCAGATTCACCGATCGATACATATCGTGTTTCGGGCTGGTTGGAACGAATGCAGGCGAACAAAATCATGACAGCAGTGCATCATTACCGGACTACCGCGGTAAAATTGTGGTGGCGCTTGGACCAGCCCAACTGATCTGAACAACGAGTGTTCAATAGATGCATACTGTTATTCCAGCTACTGGCAAAAGGGTTATTGACAACGCTCTTTTAGACTGGAAGTTAGCTTCCAACAACCCGCCTTAGCAAAGTAGGCATTCCTTACAGTTAGACCTTACAGATATGAAATGTAGCCTTTTGAGAATGCAGTCTTGCAAAGCTATGCCGCCTGAAAACTACTCGCTACTGCATGGCTTATTCTCCCGTCACAGTCTTGGTCGTCCATTCCAACATATTCACTGATGAGGCGATATTCCATTAGCATGGAACTGAGAAGCTACATTTCTAGTCAATATCTAATCCTCGCGGATACTAAGATTCACGTATTCCACAAAGCGTGAAGCTCATTGGCTCGCAAAACTGACTGACAAGTGGTGGGACCATAGCACACGCATGTGGGTTTCGCACACCACAAGCCAGTTATCCCTGGGGTAACTTTTCTGACACATATTGCTGCAAACTCCGATTATCCAATTCAAAAGGATCGATAAACCACGCTTTCACGGTCTAGATTCTTATTGAAAAATCGTTGGATCATCTTTCTTTCCCCTTTATATGATCAGTATGTTATTGTTTAGAAGCACTCATCCCACGCCGGAGTCTATACACCGATGAACACGATAAAAATACGAGACCGCGTAGCCTATTCTCACATCATCATCTCGTTCACATCCTCCCCGTATTCCTTAGGCATAACCATGAAAAACAAGTATTGACTTTGTGAACCAAATTGCATAGAAGTGGTCAGTCTAAGCGTTGCCGAATCAGCCTTGCTCGTTGAATGCATTCTGGCCAGACGTACCTTTGGCACCATTTGCCCGTGCGTCAATTTAGTCCAGAAATCAGTGATAATGGTGAATACGTATAGTAACGGAAACAGCATAAAACGGTGATATGTCCGTCAACGAAGAAGATGCTCGACTTGTCCGCCTGCGTTCTGCTTGCAGTGCGGAAATCGCCTGAGGCAATAGGCTAGAACTTTTTGCAAAGTTTCCGTGTTGATGGCGCGACATTCTTTGACAATGCTGCTTTTCAGTTGTACCAGTGAAATAGGCGTTATCTTGTAAACTCTTCTTTTCAAATAACCCCATAGAAAGAAATGTAAGGGGTTCAAATCTGATGACCGGGCAGGCCAATGCTTTGGACCTCCGCGACCGATCCACCGGTGATCGAACGCCTCGTTAAGATAATCCTGCACCGTTTGTGCCTAATGGGCAGGTGCGCCATATTGAGGCTATAACGGCTGAAGCGAAGTGCCGAAGTCGCCAACGAGAATCGGTGGTGAAAACATCTTTATCGTGTAGCTCTTACGGTACTTGCCAAAGACAGTTCCCTTCCCCTGTGAGAAGTATGATTGACAGAGGAATGACGGTAATCATAATTGAGTTACTTGGCAGACACGAGGTTAACGTCAAATCCGCAAAGGAAGTACGTGATCCTGGCTTATAAGAAGCACCTAACGCAGCCTACAGAGTTTCAACGGTTTCCTCCACCATCGTTAACTGTAGTAAACATCAACAGTGACGCCTGCACCCTGTCGGGCAATTGAGCGATCGCTCATTTCTCACGCACCCGTCTTGTTCTATTTTCTCGTACGGTTGTTCATTCTACTCAGACACAATTACCCATCGCAACAATGTGCCAATGAAACCAATCGTTATACCTTATACATATATACATACAGAAAATATGTTTCAAGAGCAAAAAATTCAACGAAGTAGATGTTCAAAATGACCACCGTCGTTTCGCTTGAAAGGTACTACTCGCCGGATGCCATTGGTTAGCACTTTCTGCACTGTGTCCAGCGAAGTATCGCCACATTCCTTGAGCATGTTCCGTTTCAATTTCTCCAGACAAGTTGGCCTGGTTTTATACACTCGGCGTTTAAAGTACCCCCAGAAGAAGAAATCCAGGGGTTCAAAACAGGAGAAAGTGCAGGCCAATCCCTAGGTCCTCCACGAACGATCCAACGATTACCGAAAGTTTCGCTAAGGTAATCAGGTATCATCATTTTGAACATCTACTTGTTGATTTTAATGACGGGTAACGCGATTTATTAACAGAACTAACGTTTCACATTTGTTAACATCCTCCTACAAAGAAATGCAGCAGACCTGCGTCATTCCACAGCTGCAGACAGAAGGAACTGAACCTGAGCATCGTCAACGAATGTCGCGGAATATCAGTGGACACATTGCAGAAAGTGCTAACCAATGGCATCCGGCGAGTAGTGCTTTTCAAGCGAAACGACGGTTTTCATTTTGAACATCTACTACGTTAAAAGTTTTTGCTCTTGAAACATATTTTAGATAAATATATGTATAATGCAAAAAGATTGATTTCAATGGCACATCGTTGCGATGGGTAATTGTGTCGGAGTAGAATGACCAACGCTACGAAAAATACAAGACGGGTGCGTGAGAAACGCGCGACCGATCAAATGTCCGACAGAGTGCAGGTGTCGCTGTTGATGTTTACTGCAAACTTGACGACGGTAGAGGAAACCGGCGGGCAAGTCGAGCATCTTCTTCGTTGACGGACATATGCTGTTTCCGTTACTATACGTATTCACCGTTATCACTGATTTCTGGACTAAATTGACGCACGGGCAAATGGTGCCAAAGGTGCGTCTGGCCAGAATGCATTCAACGAGCAAGGCTGATTCGGCAACGCTTAGACTGACCACTTCTATGCAATTTGGTTCACAATGTCAGTACTTGTTTTTCATGGTTATGCCTAAGGAATACGGGGAGGATGTGAACGAGATGGTGATGTGAGAATAGGCTACGCGGTTTCGTATTTTTATCGTGTTCATCGGTGTATAGACTCCGGCGTGGGATGAGTGCTTCTAAACAATAACATACTGATCATATAAAGGGGAAAGAAAGATGATCCAACGATTTTTCAATAAGAATTTGGCCCGTGAAAGCGTGGTTTATCGATCCTTTTGAATTGGATAATCGGAGTTTGCAGCAATATGTGTCAGAAAAGTTACCACAGGGATAACTGGCTTGTGGTGTGCGAAACCCACATGCGTGTGCTGTGGTCCCACGAGTTGTCAATCAGTTTTGCGAGCCAATGAGCTTCGCGCTTTGTGGAATACGTGAATCTCAGTATCCGCGAGGATTAGATATTGCCTAGAAATGCAGCTTCTCAGTTCCATGCTAATGGAATATTGCCTCATCAGTGAATATGTTGGAATGAACGCTCAAGATTGTGACGGGAGAATAAGCCATGCAGTAGCGAGTAGTTTTTAGGCGGCGTAGCAAGACTAGCTGGCAAAAAATTAACCAGAATGTCGCCTACTGAATCCCATAAGACAGTCGTCATGATTTTCCAGCTCATTTTTGCGACTTGAGCTTTCTTCGGAAGCGGTGACGTATGGTGGCGCCATTCCATTGACTGCCTCAGATTCCGATTCATAAAAACGAACCCATGTTTCATCATCTGTTATTAGCTTTCGAAAGATTGCGTTATCTCTTTGACTGAGCTCGAGAAGTTCAATGCAGGCATCGACCCTGTCATTGTTGTGTTCGGTAGTCAGATCTCCCGTGCTCTTTGGTCACACTTCTGAAAAGCCAAGTGATGCGACAATGTTGTAAGCACTTCCACAGCTTACTGCAAGGTTTTCTGCTAACTCATCAAGTGTTATGCGCCTGTATTCTCTGATCAGTCATCTGTTTTTGCGCCGTTGACATAATTCGCAGAAGAGAATGGCCAGCCAGAATGGGATTTATCTGCTACGCCCACAATTCCCACATTTTCATTTTTCAGACGACGGACCCACCTGCATACATTGCTAAAACATTGCCTAAGCACATTTTGTAATCGTCTGTGAATGTGCACAGGGATTTCCCTCCAGAAACTAAAATTGCAGTCACTGCTATATTTTGACGCATGTCTAAAGGGCATCTATGTTGAATGTTCCTTGTGAGTTTCGAAACCTGAAAAATAAGAAACAATATCTTTTCTAGCTTGCAAAATATGATCAAAACTGCAAAGAAATTTCAGCTATTATTATCACTCTATCTGAGAAGATGGCATTCCTTTATGATTCACTATCATATATACCAGTGACAACTCTGTGATGGGGAACAGAATCTGCGTGTGACGATGCTTGCTCGGAGGATCACCAAAGCTTTGCAGTCGTCGGGTAGATAGCCCAAAAAACTGGCAACAGAAGACTAAGTGCAAGTGATTTTATGTTCTGGGCTGCACCATGTCAGACGAATTCTCTAACCGCTTCTGTGGAATCTTGCTTAAATGAGGGGTTCCCATCTTTTTTTGTCATTTCATGTTTTTGTGTCTTTTTTCCAATCCTCATCTATAGAGTTGACCTCCATGTTACGAGAAATTCATAAGATGATCACCGGCCACATCGGTCAACTGTTGTCGCAACTAAACGGTTCCGCTACTGTGGGGCCTACATTACACCTGCTATGCAGCGATGTATACAGCTCCCTACATTTCTTTGCTATTAACCGATGTTATTTTTTGAGTGTGAAGGTCTCTTCAGTTCGATTTGGGCCATCGACTAAAGTCCATGTGTGCAAGTGCTATGGACCAAATTGTTTTGGCTGACACCCTTTTAAATACTATTCATTGTAATGACATGCGGAGCATATGACCGATCCCCTGTAGGCTACTTAATCTCAGTAGGCACTCAAACTGCTCACTGGATAACGAACTTTAACCTCCCTCATCCAACGCTACCAGTGCACATGAGTAACACTACGCATGCATCGTTTATCCAACACATTCACTTTCCCAATTTCTTCGACCCTAACGCTGGTTACATCGCAACCCTGTAGATCGTTATTTGTACAACTACGCTGTATCCCGCTTCTTCGCAAATGGTTGAGGCTTTTCAAAACCATACAAACGTTGAGTTTTTATTTTCGGTAATAAAGTTGTAGTTACAGACATAATCAAACCGATTGATTGCTTTAAATGATCGTTTCATGGCTGTGAAGTGTGGTCACATGTCGGCCCAGTCTTGCGGCAAGACCGGAACTCATTGCGCTGCGCCTGTTTATTCAGTTGTAATTACACAGAAGCTGGGTGTGACCCTGAGAGAGCTATGTCGCCCGCGTGTCCCAATTTAAACCCGACCACATAACAGTACCTCTGCTCCAGTTATGTGAGAAGGCATAAGTGATTCGTGACCATTTCGGGACCAAAGGGAAAACAGAGCTAGGGCAGCTGTGATGTACCACACTTATCGCGGTGCACTCAAGAGAGAGTTTCCCGTAGACTTAGACATGGAATCAACCTTCAGATCTAATCATCATAGATAAGCACACGCAACTGATTCATAACAGCCCTTGCTTCGAGAAAAAAATGGTTTTATAGGTACAGCCAGCAAATATTGGGTGTTGCTCACCTAAAAACACTGCACTCCATGACGCGTTTCGACCTTATTTACTCTCACTAGTTAGAGATGGCAGTCATCGAACCCGGGACCATTGAAATGTTGCAGCCGTTACTGCTAAGCCACCGGGTCACGATGAGAAACGCTTGGAAACCCTTGGACTAATTGGATAGTCATTGTGAAGTACACCTTGTGTGGATAGATTGCGACGCGCAATCTCAATGTGAACCGTGAACCCTGGTCAAATCGGTCACTAGGATCGTAACTGATGGAACAGCTAACTATTGGGTGGTGTTACCCGACCGAAAACACTACACTCCATGCTGCGTTTCCATCTTGTTTGATCTGATCAGATAAGGATATCAGACATCGAACCCGGGATCACTTGGATGCTGTTTGTTGGGGAAAGGCCATATTTCCCAAGGACTACACTAAAATCAGCCAAAACCATGGACTTTTTCTTAACCGTGCGCGCTATCTGTTCCGGTTTCAGACGAGCACTGTGCTTGGCTGCTTTGACAAGGCCGTTGAATGACCTGAACCAATCATAAGTTTCCAGGACTTGCTGGTCTTCTGTGTTGGTGGGCGAATAGATTTCATGTCTGAGGTCTTGTCTTCTTTCTTTCCTGGGTTAGAGCTATAGACTGGTGCTAGCTTTGTGTTGCATTTGTGATTTTGTGCCGTGATTTCGTTGCGGGCGTTCATTTTCCGTAGGTGTTCGTTCCAAATTGCGTTAATGACCATAGGATCGCAGCATAGTTGTAACCGTTACCTTGGCGGCACTTCCACCAGATGGTCAGTGCTCGTTCGTCCAGGTTCTCTTCTTACTTTTTCATCTCTTCTGCTTTTGCTGTCTGTATATGTACGCTTATCTTTCGTACTCCTCCCTTCGTCTTCCATTATTGTTGTAAAGATTATGTGCATCAAAAGATCTTCCCACTCCATATGAATCGTAATCGATCAACCGATTTGGGCTCAACTTCGCACTCCTGCAGTGCGAAGTGACTTGGTCTGTTTACAAGCATGTCCCGAAATCTCCATTTTCTTCACCATCGTCGCTGATGCGTGGTTTCGTTTTCACCATCAACTCTCAGTCGACCCCAGCAACTGGAAAGCGTATGCACATCTAACCGTTTGACGTCTGCGTGACAGCGCACACTCTTTGTTATGCAGATATTTGCGCACTACTCTCTCACCCGGCTGTCCTATCTCTATGTGTCGTACTATTTTTGCCTTATACCAATGGGTGTTATTGGCACGCCAGTCACTTCTTTTAACCGCTCTCCATCAGTTTACGCGTTTTTGACTGTCTCCTGGAAACACCGTCTTTCCGCTTTTTTTCCTGTCATCTTTTCGAAATAGGAGTACAACAAGGAGTTTATTCTTTTTCATTTTTATCATTTCCAAGACCACGTTCATGATGACCTGAGGTGTAACACCAATTTCTATTTCCCTCCTCTTTTTCAGCGCAAAATACGTGAAGTTTATCAGCAACTACAAGCATGCTTTGAACCGGGTACTGTTCAACTCTCCGAGTTGGTCCGCAGGGCTGATAGCCACCCACCCACCAGTACCGAACCCAATGTCCCAACAGTTGTTGCCCAATCATTGCAAATGTAGTTGCTAATATTATTACTACCCTGTTTCTATTTAAACAAGCGGCAGGCTCAATGTGCTTCCATAGATGCTGGGAATAATCGTACACGATTGGGCTATTCACAACTAGTCACCATGGTAAACCGAGAGCGTGGATGCGTTACAAAAGCTGATCAACAGGAAGTTAGTCATGTAGCCATGCTTACTCTTTGTCCACTCAAGATGGCCACACCTCGTAGGGATAACAGGGGCGATCACTGGGATCGGAATGCTTGACCTGAGAGGTCTTCAACTGCACAGTAGACTATGGCACTAATTGGAATAATCATGGATCACCCGAAGCGTTTCCTTCTTTGATTACATTCTGCAGTTGTGGCGATCTGCTGTCTTCGCGTGTTCTTGTGGGTTTATGACAGTGTTATTCCTGTTTCTATTCGTATTCATAGTCAGTCGTTTCACTCGCCTGGATTTCCGTTATCTCTACTTCCGCTTTCAATCTCCTCACTACCACAAATCGGCAATTTCGAGAGTTTTTCAACGGATTTCTTCAATGTCACCACCAGCCTTTCTGCAGTTAGATGACCGTGCTCCTATCACCTCTCACTTCGAGTTTCTGTGTGCTTTGCTTCTTTTTATTCCACTGTGCCATGGTTTGATAATACACCTGTTTGGCTCCCAGTCTCTTTGACTCCAGTTGTAATCCCTACTACTTCTTCAAGAGTTTGGGTGTCCCTGCAGTACCCTAGCCCGGCTACAACCGGTGCGAAAACTCAGTACGGAGTACCAGTTCAATACGGAAACTACCAAGCTTAGCGATCCACCACATTCACTCGATCAACTCGTATGTGCTTGTTCCTTGTCTGCTGACCAGGTAACCATCATCCTCTCCTTCTAGCTGTTGACTTAGATCTTGGGGCAAGTGAATGGTCCGCTTAACATCCCGATTGGTAACATGGTGCCTTCTTTCCATTTCACGCCCACTGTTGGCTGATGATTCCGTGTGGTTGCTCATTACCTTGCTGTTCTTCTCCCTTTTCTCTTACTCCCTTTGCATCTGACAATACAGTTGTCCTTAAAGTCATCTCATCATTTGGAGGCTCTTTACATCTCTAAGGTGCTTTTTCACGACCACTGGCCACTTACTAGATATTTAACGACCAGAAACTGGAGATGGTTCATCAATGAACCTATCTTGGCACCTGCACTGGCAGCGACGGCCGTGCGTTCTCTGGAATTCGCTCACACATTGAAAAGGCCAAAACTGTCTCCATAACTACCTGAGGTGTTTCCCACCTCTAGCTAACAGCTAATGACGATGGTGATGTCTCCATAAATCTGACGCACCTCAAGTGTCAGAAAGGAGTTTCCTTCACCACTAGCACAGTAGCTGAGGTGTTTCCCACCTCTAGCTAACGTGTATAGTGTGTGTAGTGTCACCATGAAATGCCGCGTTTACAGGACCATGGTAAGCACCGTTCCACAATTCGGAAGTGTTATCTATAAGATAAAACACAAGTAGCAGTGACCCTTAGGAGAAGTGCCAACTAAGGAACGACGGCGGAGATTGAGGCTGAACAATTCAACCAGTATTGAAAAGCTACAAGGAATAGAAATCGAATCAGCAATAACACGGAACAGCGTAGCGCGCTGATCACCGGACAAGTGAAGGGATTTACAATCATTAAAGTAAATGGACGGTTGAATGGTGCAAAGACAAATAAAATGGTATTGCGAAATACTGACACAATAAAAGTTTCGAGTTCACTGCAGACGCCTTCTATCTGTGAATCTGTGGCATTTCTCCTGTTGTATACCGTTATGTTGTCCCCAGGGACAAAGCAAACAGTGGAATGCTAGGTGGTGCTGATCAAGTTAATTGCCTGTCTAAACAGACAAGGCTAAATTGCTGTGACCTGAGTGCGTGCTACGTACACCTGCCAACTGCTGATCGATGACAGCCCTGTTTTTATCCTACCTTAGCTGACGCAATATCTGAGGGGTAACAGGGGTTAAATTGCTATATATATATAACCTTTGGTACAGCTATTGTGCCATCGCAATCTTGGTTGAATAGGAAAACAGTATGAATGATAATGAAATAACAACACAACAAATGCTTTTTTATCCAGTTTTCCACTCCGTTTTGGAATTTTTTCAATTTTATTTAGGGGGAGGAAGTAGGGGCCCTGCAACACAACGATGCACACGTCCGCCACTGACATCGATCTGGAGCCATGGCTTCCAAGATCTTCAACCAGCAAGTATCCGCCTCTCTCGGACCTTAATCAGGTAGTCGACAACAATTGGCCGAGGTTAACTGTTTCGTCGGCTTTTTCATGCGGCTTCTCCAAGTCGCAGGCTGTCCACCGGACCGTCTCTTCCAGCCCTGTTCAGCAACCGCAAACAACACACGACGCGGGTAACGCTGGACAGGCATGCACAATACATGTCCCAACCACAGCAGTTGGTGTAATGCGATGTGCTCCTCGAGCGAATGGCTTCCTCGTCCCAAGGCACGCTGTCCAACTTCCACATTGCTTACGTGGTGCCGCCACCACACACGGGCAATTGACCGCAGACATCGGTGCTCGAAAACGGGTAGTCTGCGCAAGTCACCTTTATGAATGGGCTAGATCTCGCACCCGTATAGCACGAACTGTTGCACAATAGACCCGCCCTTTGATGGAGAGACGAATGTCTTCGCGACGCCACAACTGCCTCAGCCTAAAAAGGCGGGCGTGCTCTCTAGATGCGTATCGAAATTTCCTTTCCAACAACAGTCACGCCAACAGTGATGCAATTTCCTAAGTAGATAAACCTTTCCATGACTTTCAATGTCTCACTACCAAGGGTGCGTATAGGCACAGGCACCTGCCAGTCTTGAAAGAGAGCCTTGCATTTGGATGGCGAAAAGTACATGCCATGCTTTGTTGCTTCAATCGCCAAGCAGTTTAGTGCAAGTTGGGTCGTCACCCGGCAAGACGATATCATCAGCATAATACAAATGAACAACTCGACTACTTGGGAGGAGCTCAACGCCAGCTTTCAACAAATCGCCCAGAGTGTTCTTTAGGACATCCTCAATAGCAAAGTTGAGTAGGAATGGAGAGATGTGGCACCCTTATCGAACTCCACTGGAGACCACAAAGGAAGGCGAAAGCTTGTCATAAGTCCTAACTCTGCCCTAGGTCAGACCATAGAGAATGCACAATATAGAGACGGACTTCTCGGGGACGCCATTCCTGAGCAGGCAGTGCCACAGTACAGTCCAATCGCAGAACCGAAGGCTGCACGGATATACAAGAAGACAACAATCGTTGGCCTCTGATACACATGGCGGAGCTCGTGGATCTGGCGGAGTGTGAAGATTTGATCAATGCAGCCGCGACCAGGACGAAACCCAGCTTGTTTTTCTCGCTGCAACGATTCGCGCGTTGGGAATAGCTTGCGAAATATGTTGGCTACCACCAGCTTGCAAGCGACTGGACTAAGCTTAAGCGTCGGTAGTTGGAGCAGATTGTGCGCAGGCCCATTTTGAAGATGGGGACGGCTATCGATTCACCTCAAGATGATGGAACTTTCTCTTTCGACCAAACTTTCGAGAACAAAGCGGTGAGTTCTCGAACCTGCGATGTGCTATCATCTTTAAATCGAGCTGCAGGAAGACCATCAGGGCCGGAGGCCGCTTCATGTGCCGGAGCTCCTGCTCGAGTTGCTGGTAAGACGGAGGGTCTGTGGGGGTAGACCACTCGGCCCCAGCACGAGCGCCAGAGGTAGCAGATGGAACTGGGGGCCAACAGAACTGCGAGCCAAACTGTTCGGCCCATCGCTCCGACTGTCGTTGAAGCTTGATGTTTGAGGTGCCATCCTCTTCCCATATTGTTTCACTTATACCAGATCGAACACCTTCGGTGACTTGAATGAGATGGAAAAGTTTTCTGGTATTACCAGAGAGACTAGCAAGCTCCATCTCCCTTGCACGTTCACACCACGAAGCTTCGCGGTCCATTTGCAGACTCCTGTGCAACTCTCGACCCAGGGATTGGCTTTCTTCACTGTGTCTGGAATCCGACGGGATCAAGCGGCATTTGTCCATCAGCGACAAGGAGACGGCGGAAATCCAATGCTTCGGTGGGTGATGGCCAATTCTACAAGTGTTTATACTGGTGGAAACTAAGGCATCTTTGTTCTGCGAATCGAAGTTACCTTCAATAGTTGAACCAAGCAATGTTTGCAGTGAGGCTTGGTATCTGGTTAAAATCGTAGGGTTTTGTAGATTTGCGATGTCCGGTCGGTAGTGAGCACGCTTGGGTCATCCTCCGAAACGCAAGTAAATCTTAGCATGAACCAATGCGTGATCGGAGTCTAGATAACTTGACCAGTACGATCGGCAGTCCGTTACGCTTCCACACCATCTGTAGCTGATTGCTGTGGTCAAGCTGAAAATGCGGTCGCCGACTACCTTCCTTTATGGATTTCATTCATCTTCCTCTTTGTCCGAGACCGTAGAAATTCTACTTCTCTATTGGCAGCGATAACGCGTTTACAGTTCTCTGTTAATCGAACAGGCTGCTTGCGATGTGTCTGGTATCGCAGTATTTATGGTACGCGGTTGATTACAATGGGGGACAGTGGAAATCCACAATACATCTCTCTCTGCTGTGTTGCCTCCTTCTTGCACGCCAGCCGGTTCTGGGTGACCTTGTTGTTGAGTATTTACTGGAGCCATTTAGGCTGTACATTAAATCCCTTTCTTTCTGTTTGCTTATTATCGAGGCCTTTCTGTTTGTTCATCCTATAAGCCTCACTATGATACACTTGTGCACTACTACGTTTTATTGACATGGCTTGAGAAACCTAACTCCAAATAGCCATCCATTAGAATTTCTACAACAGATGGTTAGCACAGAAAAAAGTTAGCTTTATATGTTACCTCACCTGATCAAAAATAATGTATTCACTTATTCCACCGGTGGAGAGAAGTTACTCGGGGTTTTAGGTTCCTAATTCATGGGTCACCTGTGTGTACGTGTGGGCTACCACCCAAGGGGTAAAATTGAAATTTTAGGGGGGTGTAAATATAAGTACGGACATTTGGTCCTCACTCAGTCGCAGAACAAAATTGATAACAAAATCATCCGTATCCAACCATGTAACTAACTACCCAATTACTATTGATAAGTCACCATTGACTAATCATTAGTGAGTGGTCAGTGCACTAGACGATTTTCGGTAATAGATTTTATTACTCAAACTACCAGTACAAGCCTGCAAAGCAGCGCAGCTAGATGACTCATTCATTGATCATTGTTCTTTCGAGTCGGGCATTCGTTCGCCAGGTCTAGTTGAGTGCACACTAAAGTGGGAGCTTCCGATCACTGAGACCGTATCCGAAGTGGAGGGTTTCGGTGTGGCTCCCTCCCATTCCTACACTCCATGCCCGAGGGTTTCGTCCTTGTTTGGACTCATCAGGTAAAGATAGTCTGAATCAGGAGTGGAACTCGACTTGTAGTGGTTGGCGGCAATCGCCATGATCACTAGGCTATTGAGCTTCTCGAGCAGTGCTTGACACAGCGGTTAGAAGTTGCTTTTCGGGTTTTTGGAACACCCGCCGTGTCTTGGATTGCGACATGTAATCCCAATTGTGGTCTCGGTTGACTTTGATGCCAGCCTCCGCCAATACGATCA